GTGGGGAGTGAGGAGGGAAGAAAGAAATCTTCTGCAGCACGAGGGGCTCATGCCAAAGGAAGCAGCAACAGGATGGATGGAAGAGCTGCAACTACTAGAGGAGGGCTGGCTCTGGGCAACTGGAAAAGTGGCACCCAAGGCCAATCTCTACAAGGAAGTAGGAAGGGAGGCAGTTGGAAGGCCCTAGAAATGACCCTCTCCACTTCCCAGCTTTCTGATCATGGATTAAATGTCTCACCTGGTGCTCCGTCCCGTCCGCTGGGTAGGGGTGGGACACAGCACTCCTAGAAGGTCCCACAGAAGAGAGAATGAGGCTGCAGGGCTGATAAACTTACAAAGCCCACGGAAAGAAGGGAAAGGAACTGGATTCATTCCAGATGGAGGCGAGAAAGCTGGTGATTACAAATGTTAGAAGAAGCCTCTGAGGATGTAATGGGAAATTATTAAGAAGGCCAGCCAGGTGTCTTTGTTGCCAGCAGTATCAGAATGAGAGGAAATTGACTGAATCCGTGGAAAGAATTTTCGCTGTGGAGGATTCGCTATAGAGGATTCCCAAGATGGCTGTTGGCATAAAGTTCTTAAACACGCAATAACTTCTCATCCAGGATTATGGAAAATATAAGTGTGCCTCGGGGCGTGGGATCAGCCTTTTAAGATCCTTCTCAGGTTTACAAATAACATCTGAAGACCGCTCTGCATTTGTGCAAGATCGCTGCTTCTTTATGAGCTCTTTGTCATCCGTTCATTTCTATTTCCTTCCTCACAAATCTATTGCCATAAATGGATTTTAACTCGTTGTTATAATGATCTCTAAAACTGATCTAGTCTGCAGTTACGATCATTATCAACTACCATTCCTTTCTGAGAGCTTACTCGTGGTGACGGTGGGTGGCGTCTCCCGTGATTAACTTCTACCAAGGGTGTACCTCGACAACAGACTATTAGATGAAGAAGTAGAAGTGGTTCGATATGAAATATATGTATAATAGTAACTATCATTTATTGAGCACTGATGATGAGTTAGGAACCATTCAAAGTACACCTTTCATGTCACTGGGTCCTCACTCAGTCCATTTTTCAAGTGCGGACTCAGGCACAGAGCGTGTCCATAAACTGCTCAAGTTTATACAAGCAGTAGATAAAGACTCTGGGATTCCAGCTAAGGCATTCTGGCTCCAGGACCTGTGCATTTAAGCCCCATGCTATGCTAGTTCCTGAAATGGCCACGAGAAGTTGTACAGTACGTATAGAGTGGTACAGATATGGGAATAAAACTCTCCAAGGGACATTTCTGAGCTAGAAGAAAAAGAGAGGTGGGAGAGAAAAAGAACAGGTGGCAGGAGTGGCTGATGGGAGTCTATCCCTCCTGGGAAGGGACATTCAGAGACTTTCTGAATCCTGCCACTCCGGCCTGCACCATTCGGTGGAGGCTCATCTCTCGCCAGGATGTGAGAGCCGTGAGGTGCTGGCGAACAGTGGGGTGTTGTTCCTATGCAGTCACCAGCCCTAGTCCTCCTCCTGCATAAAGTCCACATCGATTTCTCTCCTGTGAGCAAATATTGTACTTAGAGTTCAGCCACAAGGGCTTAGTGTGTGTATGAGTCTAGTCTGTGTCCATAAACTCTGCCAGGGTAAGAAGATGGCTTCGTGGGCGTCTATCTCGTCTCCCAGAACAGGGCAGGCAGCTAGTTTTACGTGGCAGGCGCATATTAAACTCCTGTCGGAGGACCGAAGAAAGCATGTCAGAGTTCCTGTGACGGGGGTGAGGGGTGTGATGTGGTCAAGGAACGAGGTGGGAAATGGATTCTGGCTAAGGAATGACCTAGTGGGTTGGTTCTCTTTGATGTGATGGTGGGACCATCATAGCGAATGTGCCACAGTGTGGGGTCCAGCAGTGCACGGGCCACCCAGTTCTGCCAGTGGCAGCAGTCCCCCAGTGGGTAGTCTATGGGTAGTACGTTAGACAAGACGGGAATCTTACGCAGGTCATGGAGAGGCCCGAGAGCGGTCACCCTGAGGACAAGGCTCTGGGAATGTTCTGGTCCAGGCAAGCATGGAAGAGGTGAGGTAGAGATCAGTGGCAGTTGCCGTGACCACCGGCAGGCATACAGGGAGAGGCGTCTAGACGGGCTCTCTGAACAGGGTGGAGAGCTACAGCTGGGAGCCGGGCAGGTGGCATCAGAGAGCCCCGCTCAAGCAAGCAACCTTCTGATGAGGGATGACCTGTGAGTAAAGATGAAGAATGTGCTTTCTGGTAGCTGGGGTCCAGGCTCTGGTGTCCCCGTGAGGAAAGCATGCAAACGCCAGAGAGGGGAAAGCTGGCTCTTGAAAGCTTCCTGTTCCGCTGGCCCCCATACCAGGCACGCTCTGACTTCACAAGGCGGCCCCAGGAGCCCGCCCGGCCCTGCTGCTCAGCGCCTGCTCTGGAAGGGCGGCGGACTGTCACGTTACAGAGCACTGCGCGCTGACATAGGAACACGCCGCATGCTTAACCACTCCCCAGGAGCCACCTGCATTTTGGGAGCGAAGCGTGTTAATGCAGCTGAGCTCGGATCGGGCAGTGGGGTCTTGCCAGCTGGGAGGCCTTCCGCGGGACACGCTCCTTCCTTGCGCTCTGTCACAGGGACACTTGGGAGGAAACTGCTCGTCCTCCTGCCACCAAATCTACCGACCCACCTGCGTCCTTCGCCACATCCCACTACGTGGATGGATGGCCCCAGGGCCTTTCTAAGGCCTGCCCCCCTTGCACCCTACTCCCAGCCCCATTTGCTCCACAAGGACATCATCTCTGTCCCCATTCTCTCTTGGCTCATTCTCAGCATCAGTAAACACTGTGTCAAAAATATTTCTTACGCCATCGAGCACATATTTGGGAAAAAAGAAAAAGGCACGAATTTCTCCTGACCCTACAGCCTCTTTTAGCCACCGCAGCCCCTTTTCTCTCTCCCCTTTCCAGCCACTACTGTCCACTTCCTCTCGTCCCGTGTGCCATTGCGCCCACTCCATTCGGGCTCCATCCCCACTGCCCCACTGCATCTGCTTACACCAGTGTCACCTCCACGCTGCCACCCTCAGTGGCCGTCTCTCGGTCCTCGGCTCCCTGGTCCAACAGGCCAGCAGCGTTCAGGCAGTCGGCCCTGTGCTTGCACGAAACACTCTTCCTGCCTGGCTTCTGGGAGACACCGGCTCTGGGCTCTCCTCCCACCTCCCTGGCCAGGTCTCCTCCCTCTGCCTTGCTGACTCCTCCCCATCCTCTCCATCCCCAGGCACGGGGGGGGGGGGGGGCGTCCCCAGGATATCTAACAGCATCTCAAGCTTCACACGTCCACAGACAAACCCTGATCTTCCCCCAAAACCTGCTCCTCCCTCGGCCTTTGTCATCTCGAAAAATGACAATTCCGTTCTTCCAACTTCTCAACCCAAATCCTCGCATCTATCCCTGGCCCCTCTTTTCCTCTCACTCACCAAACCCACGCCACGATCCAATCCTGTTGGCGGTACATCCTAGATAGGTCCCACTCGGGATCACTTCACACACCTCCACCACCATCTAAGCCGCCGTTGGAGCTCGTCTAGACCATGGGGACCAACACTGGCCTGTTCTCCCTGGTTCCACTCTTGCTCCCCACCCCCTCTGCCTGCTCGCCTCACAGCCACCGGAATGACCTTTAGAAACGTCAAAGAGACAACTTCTGCTTAAATCCCTCCCAGGGCTGCCCACCTCATTCAGAGCTAAGTACACAGTCTGAAATAAGGGCTCCAGCGCTCCCTGCAATCTGAGACCCCTACTTCTCTGCCCCTCTCCTCCTCTCTCACCATCCCCCACCCCCACTGCACTGTCTTCCTTCCTGCCACTTGTGCAGGGACCAAGCTTACACCTGCCCTGCTGTGCCTCTGCCCGGAAAGTTCTCACCACCAGTACGCAGGTGGCTCTGTGTGCCAAGCATCTGTTCTGCACAACGAACCACCCCAAAACTTAGCGGCTTAAAGCAATAACAGTATCTATTTTACTCAGGAGTCTTCAGTGTGGGCAGGGCTCTGCAGGCGCCTCTTAGCTCTGCACCCGCTGGCGTCAGCCGGAGTGGCTGGGCAGCTGGGTTTGCTCTTCTCTGGGTCTGAGAGTTGAAGCTGGCTGTCCCAGAGGACGTCACTTGGTGTCCCAAACACCTACCTACACCTCACTCTCTCCACGTGGCTGCTTAGCTTCCTCACAAAATGTCGACTGGGTTCCCAGGGCAGGCATCTCAAGAGAACCAGGCGAAGCGTGCGTCCTGTTACCAGCCAGTCTGGGAGCCTCGTGGCATCCACTCCACTGCAGCCACAGGTCCACCCAGACGCAAAGGGAGGGGACACAGACCCCACCTCCCGCCGGAGGAGAGTCAGCATCCCACGGCAAAAGCACGTGGGGTGGGAGATGCGGGTGGGGCCGCACGCTTTCTCACCGTCTTCTGATAAACTTATAAACTCGCCTGGGAATACCCCCAACTTTCCCTTGACTTAATCTTATTCATAAAATTCTTTACCACATGTAAATGGGCCATGAATATTTGTTAAATAAATGAATAAATCATCACCACAACAAAAAGAGATGGCAGGTAATGTTTATCGAGAGTTTTCTATGTGCCAAGTACTAAGAAAAATATTTACACATAATATCCTGCTTTCCTTTCCCCTGAAACTCTGGGAAGTTAGTACGAGGACTCTACTGATGAAAAACGGAGGCATAGAAAAGTTCACCCAGGGGCAAGAGGGGAGGCCGAGGTTCAGAGCCAGGCAACTTCTTCCCGCGGCTGCAGGGTGGAGCTGAGGTGACTTAGTCACACGAGTTTGCCTTCGCCCCCAAACACTGGGGTGTCGGGGGCCAAGGCCAGAGGTAGCACGTTTAACTGCGGCTGGAGGAGTAAGGACGGCCCTGGGCGCTCCCTCAGAGGTCCTGCAAGTGCTGGGTGGGTGCGACCGTGTCCTTTATGTTTCCCTCCCATCTCCTACTTTCTTTCCAGTCCGGGTGACTGTGGATGCCATCTTCGTGGAAACCACAGAGGACGTTATTCGGGCTGCCCGGGGGAGCAGTGTCACCCTGCCATGCACCTACCACACCTCTGCCGCGGATCGAAACGGACTTATCCAATGGGACAAGCTTCTCAGGAGTCACTCGGTAAGCATCCTTAACAAGTTCGGGGACCATGGGAGCCATCGTCACCTGGCCATGACCCTTGGAAGGCAAGCGCTACAAAGCCTTCCAACAAAGGTCAGACGGAACAAAGGTTAGCTCCCAAGCTGGGGTGTGTGGGGAGGCCGAGGCGATGCTGGACCTATGGAGGGTCAGACCATGCCACCTGCATTCTGAAAAAGTCACCCGCCCTGAAATATCTTTCTGTTGGCCAGTCTCAAATGACCTAAATTTGTGCCATTCAAGTCAGCCACTCCTTTGGATTAGCACAGCCCTCACTCTGAGGCCAAATTTTATTTTACAGAGTGTTTTTTTTTTTTTTCCTATTTGGATTCTTTTGGAAAGTGTGGAGGAGTTTAGTTTTATTTTCTAATTCTATGTTTAAATAGATAATGTAATCCCTTGGTTTGAAAACCAAGACATGGTAAAAGGCATACACCAAGTGGAACAAATAAATTCCAAACCCCTGACCCGCCAGTCCCGCCACCCGGTTCCCACACCCGCATCTCTCTATCCCCCACCCTCCTCCACCCAGGCCAGGCACATACACACGTAGGTATCATGTGTCTATGCACACATGCATATACATATATGAATACCATGTTTACATATACTACACACATACTATTCTGCACTTGGCTTTTTTTCTCTTAACAATGTATCGTGGCCTCTTTCCATATATGCGGTACACTTATATCTATCTCATTTTTTAAACATTTGCAAAAAAACACTTCATTTTGTGAAAGTACTATATGTCCCATTGATGGACATTTGGTTTGTTTCTTATATTTTGTTGCTACAAATAATGCTGCAATAAATATAAATGTCCCTGGCCAGGCATGGTGGCTTGTGTCTGTAGTCCCAGCTACTTGGGAGACTAAGGCAGGAGGATCACTTGAGCCCAGAAGTTAAGTTATAATGAGCTATGATCAGGCCACTGCACTGCAGCTTGGGCAACAACAACAACAACAACAACAACAACAACAAACCCAAGGTCTTTAAAAATGCAAACACTTCTGGCAGAAGTAAACACGAGGTCCCTGACCACTCAGAGTGGAAAAGGACTCAGCTTCTTCTCTGACGAGAGAGCAGGGGTGAGTAACCGCAGCGCTCAGAAGGGACTTTACTTCTGGTTTGCTAAACACCTGCGATGGTGAAAGAAGGCGCCCTGCAGCTCCTGCAAGGGAAAGGCAGCAGCTTTCCTCTTTACGTTTTTGCCCCGGGACTCTGGGAGCCCCCAGGAGAGGCGCCCATGGGCTGTCAGGGTCCCTTGGTGCATCAGGCCAAGACTTGCTCCCTGTCCGTCCTGCTGCGCTAGGACTCAGGTGTCCTGGGCCACCCCAGGGAGGGAGAACAAATAAATTCCAAAGACAAGAGTCAAGTACACAAAGGGGGCTCGGAAGCCAAGGGTGGCTGCCTAGCATGATGCCTGGGACACAGTAGGTGCTCAGTACACACCAGCTACTGGATGAGGGAGGGGAGATGTGGGCTGAAATGGAATGGACAGGAGCCATGCCAGTGGTTACAGAAGAGGAAAGTGTTGGGATGTGAGATGGCCCCATTTACCCACGGGCGCTCCTGCGGTATGACCTGCCTACCTGCCCCACCCCAAGTCTTTCAATATTTTCATTTAAAAAACATTTTTTTAAATGCATATAAAATAACAAAAGAAATCCACGAATGGGTAGCACGTGCTGGGGCGGTTTGCTCCCAGGGTTGGCACGGTGGGCTCTGGGAGCGTGGATGAGGGCAGTCGGGGTAGGCGGGAAGCACCATGCCAGGGCCTTGGGGTGAAGACCGAGCGGCATTTCTTCTTCCTCCCAGGAAAGGGTGGTCATCTGGAATTTCGTGAGCAAAGCCTACACCTATGGGGACCTCTATGAGAACCGAGTCAACATCTCGAAAAATGCCGAGCAGTCGGACGCCTCAATCACCATCGATCAGCTGACCATGGACGACAACGGCACCTACGAGTGCTCCGTCTCGCTGCTGTCAGACCTGGACGGCACGTCCAAGTCGCGCGCCCGCCTCTTGGTCCTCGGTGAGTGTCTCCAGGTCCTTCGCGAGTGGTAGGAAGAGGGAGAAGCGAGATGAAGCCAGAGGCAGCACCGCATCCTCCCGAAGTGCGGTCTGTCCCAGGGCCGGGGCCGCGGGTCCTCCCCTGAACTGGAGAACACTGAGTTCTCCACGAACCACGAGTGTCCCCCACGGCAGAGGGGAGGGCTGACTTGGAGTGGGCCCCTGCTCTGTCTGGTGTCCTTTCTCCGAAACTCTTCCCGTTTTCACACCATACCTATAAAGAGGAGAATCTTAAATTCTATTGCAAAGACTCATTGCGCCTTAATCTGGTCCTTCGAGGGTGGCATTATGGCTGTTTTTTGGGGAGTCCACCTCCCCCTGTCCTTTCCCTTTCTCTGTTCCCGACCCCATGCAAACCCTTCTCCCCACGCCTGCACACCCTCAGCCCCAACAGACGCACTTCCACCAGGTTCCGCTGCCTTGGACACCTGCCCTAAGATAACATTCTCTTCACAGGAATGACTTTGTGTTGGAATTTATAGTTTGGGAAGGATATGAAAGAAAGATCCATCTACTTTAATAAACTCACGTTGTAGATGAGGCCCAGAAAAAGGAAGCAACTGACTCTGCTATTTAGCGAACGCTTAGTCTATGTCCAATATAAGAAACAGCACCACCCCTGGGAGTTAGCGGCACTTTAAATCAAAATAGTTGATCATTTTTCCTTTTACAGTTTTCCCCTTACATTACTTGATGGAATTTTATTTTTTAACTGCATAAGGCGGTTGCCTGACTTTTTGAAAGCATTATATAGCGAATCAAACTATACAATTACACAAACTAGCACTGTATGAAGAATAACTAAGAACTCCTTCCACCCTACCACGAATGAAGTAGCCAGTGGCAACGCTGGTAGGGACTGTATCTTTCCATACTTCTCTTCACTTCCTTTCCGCACGCTTGCATGCTCTTATATACTTTTCTCCTTTTCTTTCTTTTCTCTCAAAAAATGGACTCATATTATAAAAATCACTCTGTGACTTACTTTTTAAAAACAATGTTTCATGCATATTTCTCCAGATGAACACATAGATTCTACCTATTAACAGCATATATTCTGTCATATGGATATACCATGATTTATTCAATTGTTCTGTACTGATGGAAATGCAGGCTGCCTCCATTTTTTGTGTGTGAACAATATACAACAATATACACCCTCCTACACACACATGCACAAATGTGTGTTGGGGGGGTCCCTTTTCCTTTAGTGAAATAGCTCCCATTTCCTTTAGTGAATGTAAGTCCTAGTGTGGACTCCACTCCCCTCTCCCCTAAGCATAAATGCCATTGGTCCCCCTTTCTCCCTTCCGGGGCCAGAGGAATCAAGTTTAATCTGAGATTATGGAACTTGGTGAAACCAATGTTCTCCTTTTTTAAAAGAAGATAGAAAGAAAGAGGAGAGAGAGGCAGGAAAGAAGAAAGAAGAAAGAAGAAGGAAAGAAAGACAAGGAAGGAAGGAGAGGAAGGAAGGAGGAGGAGAAGGAGGAAGGAAGAAGGAAGAGGCGAAGGAGGAAGGAGAGAGAGAGAGAGAGGGAGATAGAGAGAGGAGAGAGAGAGAGAGAAAGAGAGAAAAGAAGAGGAAAGAAGAAGAAGAAAAGAAAGAAAGAAAGAAAGAAAGAAAGAAAGAAAGAAAGAAAGAAAGAAAGAAAGAAAGGGAAGAAAGAAAAGGAAGAAAGAAAAAAAAGAGCGAGAGAGCCCATTTTGTACTACACGTTAAGAAATCCAGTAAAAAATTTTTTTAAAAAGTTTTCTTTCCCATTGGCTTTGCAGCTGGTCTATTTTTAGGCAGAAGGGTTTTAATTGCAGGGGCGGCCCACTGGGGCCCGGCGACCTCCGGGCAACCGCGGCGCGGGGAGCGGCGCGTCCCGGTCACCGGCCTCCCTGCGCGCGGGCGGGACCGGCCGTCTCCCGGCCTCTGGCGCCCCCTGCCGTCCGCAGCGGGACTTGCAGGCTTCGGGGAGGTCTTGGAGCCCAGCGCGGCCCGTCCCCTCCCTCCCCGTGCCTTCTGCCTCAGGTACTCGTCTACATTCGGCTTGGCGGGCAAGACGGGGCAGCTGAGAGTGAGACAGCAAGGCCCGGAGGTCTCCCGGCCCCGACACGCGTGGAAGGACGATTTGAACTAGATCTGCCTGATTCCAGGTCCTCACTGTTTTTAATGGTGGGGGCTGAGAAGAGAGACCCTAGCGAGGGACCTGGGGGAGTTGCGGGCTGAGGTTAAGGGCCAGGGGACAAAGGACCAACACATTCCTCCCTAAAGCTGAGCTCTTTAGGGGTAGCTGGTCTCTTGTTTGTCGTTTGTCATACTTCTGCCACAGGGGGCATTACGGATTTGCTCCTTGTATTACAGTTCTCCCTTAGCAAATGGCAGGGTAATGCAGAGCTAGTCTTTGCATGCATTCCGGTGCTTCTTTACGCTTCTGTAGTTGAGGGGGGGGGGGGGCATCTGTCACTTTCTTTCCCTTTTTGCACTGTATCCCGAAGAAACCTTGTCGTAGAGAGGCTCTGCTGTCACTCATGCACACTTAGGATTTGCCTTTGGGCAGCCCTGGGACTTCTCAGGTGGTCTTGGTATCGGGCCAACTCTCTAATCGTGGGACACAGGCTCAGCCTCCTGTTGAAGGCATTCCTGGGAACAAGGGTGAACGGTCTGGATGGGTAGACAGGGGTGTTTCTGGACCCTTAAAGAGCTCAAGAGATAAAGTTTGGCTCAGTTAGCCTGTCCTAGAGCAGGGTCCCCTGGGAAGTGCTCACCTTCTCTTGTCCTCCAGGGACCTGCTTGCTGGGCCGGCAGGGTGGGCAGGAGGGCTGCAGGTCGGAGTGGTCCTCGGGCGGCATCCTCCCCCTCCCCCCTCTGCTCCAGTCCCAGCGTCCCATGTAGCCTGGCATGGAGGTGTCAGGCACAACCCACAACAGCCTGCCTGTTTCCAAGAGGAGACACTGCGGCTGCTGGGCTAGAGGTGTGTCCAGAGAGCTTCTCCCAGTGACTTCCGGGAGGGGCAGAGATCGGAATGCCTGCCCGATGCTCAGTGGCCCACTCTGCACCTGGACTGTAGAACAGGCAGCATTGTTCATCGGGCTAGCCAGCTATCCAAGGGAGCATGAAAAGAAAGATGCGGAGGGGACAGGCCTGCAACCCAGGGATCCCAATAACAGCCTTCTCCGTGGTGTGTCCTCCCCTTCTCACCCCAAAGGACACTACTTGAAGTCTCAAGCATACTCCATGCTTCTTGCCCCAGTGCCCTTGCACATGCTGTTTTCTCTGCCTGGAGTGCCCTCACTTCTCTTTCTCTGACGACCATCACCACTTCCACCATTGGCCCTGTTGACACTCACACTCCCTTCAGGCCACAGCTGATGCTGTGCTGGGTCAGCGCTCGGGCCTTCCCTGCCCCTGCAGCCTCCTGCCTGGTGACTGTCCGAATACTTGTCTTTTGCCCCCACTGCGTTCCTTGACTCACTCACTGTGTCATACCAGTGCCCAGCACTGTGAGGCACACAGTAGGTGCACAGTAAGGTTTGCAGAAGGCACTGCCCCACACAGTGGTGTGTTAACGATGCGGAGTGAAAGGCCCAGGCTAGAGAGCCCCAGGAATTAGGGGAGATCAGGTTAGGATTGTGAGTGGAGATGGCCTGCTGCTTTTGTAAGCTCCTCTCTGTGGACTTCCCTGTCCTTATCTCTGCCCCCTGCCCCCTGCCCCCGCCCATCCCATTGTCCACCCAGCACTTATCTCTACGTGGCCTGCCGGTCCCTTCTGTCACCCAGCCACTGGTGGCAATTGCATTTTATCAGCAGAGCAGCAGAAGAGGGTAATGGCTTAACCCAAAGAGAACATTCCTAAGAAGTTAGAGTTGAAGGGCTTCGGAGATCATTTAACCCAGAGGTAGGAAAACTAGGGACCAAATCCGTCCTGTTCTTATGTTTCTTAAGCATTATTAAAAAGAAAAAGAAGCAGCAACAGAGACGACATATGGTCTGCAAAGCCTAAAATATTGCCTTCTGGCCCTTTACAGAAAAGGTGTGCTGTCACCTAATTTTACAGATAGGAACTCTGAGGTCCAGAGGGATTGAGGATTTCCCTAAAATGGCACAGATGAGTCCATGGCACCGGGAGCTCGTGTGGGCTGGTGGAGAGAATACTGGGCCTGGAGTCACAAGACCTGGGTTCTAGTCCCAGCTTTGCCAGAACCCATGAACAAGCGTCCTCTCTGGGCCTCAGTATCCCCACCTGCATAATGGCCATGTTGAACTATCTTTAAAATCCATGACTCTAGAAAACACGTGAAACCACACCTTTTAAAGCAACTGTGGCCAGCCCATGACGCTTCCCACTGTATATACTGCCTGTCTGTGATGGGGGCAGGCCACCAAGGAGATATTTTGGGGTGAATTGGTTTTATAGCATTACATCTCACCACTAAGCCATGAATTTCTCTGCCTGTGACAGACAAGGCAGTCCATGTGTGTTTGGGGCGGCACCTGATTTATGCCTTCTCTTTGATCCTCTGCACAGTGCCTCCCTCCGTGCCAGATTGTAGCATCCAGGGAGAAACCATAATTGGGAACGATATCCAGCTCACCTGCCAATCAAAGGAAGGCTCCCCGGCCCCTCAGTACAGCTGGAAGAGGTACAACATCCTGAACCAGGAGCAGTCACTGACTCAACCAGGTAATGGGGTCCGAGGGGAAGGTGGCCCCCACATTAAGGTATAGCTGATTGGCTAGGGCTGCCGGGGGAGACCTGGGATGACCAATCAGATCCCCCTGAGGGCTGCCCCATCCCGATTCCCCCACCCTGCTGTTGCCACTCCGATATCTGGGCCATCTCTCCAAGCACTGGTTTCTCATAATAATACTTACCTCATAGTTCTGGTGAGAAATTAAAACAATTGATATAAAGCACTCAGCAGAAGCACAAAATAAATGCTAAATTGTTTCTTGCATTCCCTATACCTCAGTTCTCTTGAATAAGCTTGTATTGTGCAGAAGCCCTGGGTGGGGTTTTAATTTTGATTGTGATTATGCCCATAGTGATATACTAGTGTATTGTTACGATTATGATTAGGTATACGTGCGAGGCCCCATGTCTAACTCTGCAGCTCCCCCCCAAGGGTGAGGAATTTCCCATTTCCATTCCCCACCCAGGCTGGTCCATCTCAGACTCCACTGACGCCACCGCCCCAACACACTCCCTGTCACGGCCCCACCCACTGACACGTCCACGTCCCAGGACGGTCCCACGTCCTAAGGGAAGGAGATGGTATGTTTGGCTGCAGTCGCCAGGAGGCCCGTTTTGTACTGGGCAGTGTGGTTTTTGACCTCTCAGTCAGGAAACAAACTGCAGGGGGAACAAAAGAGCTATGTAAAGTCCTACTGTCCTTACTCTGGAGCCAGCGGGTGTGGAAATAGCCCCGTGGGATCCCTGAGCCCCCGGTGCCCAGGTGCCCACTGCTGCACCCAGTCCCCTGGCGACAGGAAAGACAAGGCCTGAAGGCGTCCCCTGGGTTTAGCTCCTGGGGGGTCTTTCAGGTCAGCGTGGGTGGAGGAGGAAGCAGGGGGGGGGGGGAAGGTGGAGAGTGAAGCCGGCAGGGCACACAGCTGTCCCGAGAAGGTGAGATTTGTTTTGTGGGAGGAACGTCCGGTGTCCAGGTGAGGCTGGGCGGATGAACACACGTACCCGGTTCACTCAGACCAGGATGAACTTAATCACTCCAACTTTCCCTCGTTTGGTGGCAAACCAGTTACTTAACAAAAAAAGAATCAGTAGAACCCACTCAACCTAATGTAAAATAGAAGGTGTAATGTGGGTTTCAAGAAGCTTCTAGTTCTGTTTGCATGTTTCCGGCTGGCAAGTTTTTATTGAATGTGTCTGGAATTTTCATTGAAACCACTTGGCAGCTGTCCTCAGGCTCTGGGGCCTCTTCTGTCCACCTGTGAAGGACCCAGAGACCTCGGTGGTGGTCGTGGTAGGTCTGCTGCAGATGCTGGTTGTGTCTGAGCTTCCTTCCAGCGACATATTTACGGGGGACCCACAGCTGACGGTTACAGGTGATGAGCACCACAGCAGTGCCGACGTGACTCAGAGGATGCGTAAGAGGGTCAAAGAAGATTTCTCCAAGGAGGGGCGTTGGGGCTGGCAGTACAGCACGGTGGTTAAGAGCATGCCACGGGCTTGAATCCTGGCTCTGCCACTTGTTAGCTGTGTGGCCTTGGCAGGTGACTTCGCCTCTGTTTTTGCCTTAGTTTCTACACCAGTGAAATGGCACAATACTAGTTTAACTTCATAGGGTTGTTGTGCCGTGCCTGGTGGATAGTAAGTGCTCCATCAGTGCCGGGTCTTATTAGCTGTTATTTGAGCTGGGTCCTCAGGGATGAGTAGGCAGGGATGGAGAGATTGTGGAGGGCCGGTGCTTCCGGCGGGAGGTGGCCTTTGCCCTGTAAGCCAGGGCATGTTCTGAGCAGCCTCCCAAACCAGCACCTGGCTCCAGCCCTCCTGCCTCTATCACCAGACGCCCCCAGAAGCCAAAAGTTTGGTTTTTCTGTGATCCAAAAGGGGAGAATCCTGAGGACGGGAGAGGAGGATAAAGGGAGAATTCTCTCTTTGGTTTGCAAAAGCTTTATCGTGCCTCTAGTGAAGATTTGCTCAGGCAGAATGGGGACCTGGGAGTGACAGAAAAGAACGTGGTTAAGGGTAATCAGAGCATGACCTTGCTTCTGGGTGCTGTTGTGGGGTGAGGTTCTCGAAGCCTTGCGTCTCCACCTGCCACACAGAGCCCTGGGGACGCTCAGTGTCTTCTTCCTCGGTGGGTCCGTCCAGACCCATTTCTGACTTTTAAAACATTTCGGTCCACTGTGGATGATTTGGAGAGGAGGGTTCCCCCGCAGTCCTGCATCTGAAGATAGAGTTTCCAACGTGAGAGATTGGTTCCTTTGAGCAATCAGTGGAAACCAGCTAGCAGGGAGAAGGTCAGGGACTCCGGAACAAGGAAACAAGGGTTTGAGTGTTGAATTCGCCACAGCTTCTATGACCATTAGTATCAACATTCGAAAAAAACAGGGATGGTCATAATACGGCTCCCTGACGATTGTGAAGAGGATAAGAGGAGACCACAAATGTGACGGCTCTGAACGTGCCTTGTAAACCGTGTCCCAGTCAGCTGGGTTTCATGCACCAAATAAACAGGAATTTGGGTATCAAGGACATGGCAGGGGGGACTCTGGGGACTGGAGTGCTTTGCCGGGGAGGTTGTGAAGAGTGGGGATGGGTCCAGGGAGGATCTTGAGGGCCCTGGGTGAGGGTGATAGCCCAGGCTTGTTGACAAGCCATGAGATCTGGGGGGTAGGGGGCAGAAAAGTTAGGTCTTGTCAACTTGGCGACAGTGTCTTGGTGAGACCAGAGCTTTCCTGGAGGGGAATCCACCCACAGGTGGAGCAGAGCAGAGGCAAGAGGCAGATGACTTTCCTGAGCAGTCCCCTTCTTGACCACGAGGTGTCACCACTGCAGCAGAAACTTAGTTTTCTCTGGATTTCAGAAAGGACCCTTTCCAAAGGAAAAGGGGTTTAGGAGCCCCAACTAGGAATCAAAGCAGGTCCGGTGGCACATGATGTGCACTGGCTCATCCCAGAAGAGCTTCTGAGGTGTACTGTTTGCACCAGAGAACTGGGGAAGGATAGCACTGACCCAGTAGACTAAAAGTCCTATCCTAAACAAGGCCTGGAGCTCAAAGCTGGGCTCAGATAACCAAGAAGGTCCTCAGTCCTTGTGCCGTGTGCTGTGTGCCGTGTGCTGCGTGCTGCGTGCTGCGTGCCCCTAACACGTACACTGAGTTTTACTCTCTAAAGCAGTGGGCATCTGTTAAGAGCTCTAGGCCCAGTTCTATGCCCGGGGTCATAGAACATTTCCCAAAGTGTATTCCTTCAAGATTTCTCTTAAAAATAACAAAATGCAATTAGTGTAGAAAATGAGACTATTAATGCCATTAGCCCCATCAGAGATTCCCAGTGCTCATTAGCATGTTAGGAGCTCTGGAAGCTCTGCCCTTACAAAAACTTATTTTAACCCTAACTCAGTGATTTCTAAACTTGCTTTGGTGATGGGCCCCTTTTCAGTACCATTGCAAGCAATACTCCAGGAAATGCACTGAGGCGCGGAGTCCTAGTCTGGAACGGGTAGCATTTTATAGAGAATGAGCTACACCCAGAGAGTAGTGCCTGGGGTTCAAGGGAAGAATTTGAAGAAAATACAAGTGAAAAGATTGGAAGAAGAAAACCCCAAGTCAAAGTGCCGTTATTTCTGGCTAGTGAGATTACGAATGATTTTTATCTCACTCTGTCTTTTGTATAGAGGCTTTCCTTGGCCTTTCGCATGAGATCAAACCCCCCCCCCCCCGCCCTAAACTCGAATAGCTCCTCCATGTTGCACTGTGACCACCCATGAAATCACCATTGTCTGGTGTCTGTCTTCCTTCCTTGACTGAAAAGACAAAGAGGGTAGGGAGCCTCTTCATGTTGTTTAAAGCTGTGATCAGCACATATTTTCTGTAAAGAATTGGATTGAAATAGTTTTATGTCATATATAAATCCTTATAATGGGCATACATTGCTTTTATAATATAAAATTTTAAAGCAAAGTGGCCAACAGCTCCAGGGAGTTCTAGACCTAAAACAGGATTTTGGTTCCAGCTTTGTCACTTCTTAACCTTGCAACCTTGACCAAGTCACTTAACTTCTCTAAGCCTCCAGTTACCTGCATGAAATTGGAGATGGAAATATTTGTTCCACCCACCATTCCAGATTGTAGGAAGGATGAGAGGGCATCATATTTGAGGACGTGCACAGAGCAGCACATGCAGACGAGGCAAATCTCAAGACACAATCTTGCAAGAGACCGGCAGTGGGGCAGGGAGAGGGCTGCTCCCCTGGTTGTGCCCCATGGGACACCAGAGGCAGTAGCAGGAAATAAGGCCGGCGCGACTGCCAGGGCCAGATCTATGACATTGTCACCGTATTAAGAAGCTTGGACTTGTTGCTGAAGATGGCGTGCAGCCTGTGAAATGTCTGAACAGAGCAATGACGGGATCCTCGCTGCAATTTAGAATGTCTCTTGTGGGTGGAGTGTCGCCACCTGGTGGCAGCAGGGAACCGGCAAGGCTGGCCCTGCAGCTAAATGAAAGGACTCCAGTCTCTGACTCTTCTCTCAAAATAGTGGTGACGACCAAGCATCTTTGAGGACAGGGCACACAGGTATGTCTAAGTGGAGAGCTCTCCCTTTAAGATGAAGAAATTCACAGGATCGCAGATCTGGCAGGAAGGTCCCTCGTGAGGACGTTCTCGTCCATGCCCGGGATTCAGGAGGCGCAGGTGTTTTCACGCCCACATTCGAGGCCAGGCGCCGCGGCCCAGAGAAGTTGAGGCTGAAGTGGGGGCAGATGCAGAAGAGTCTCTCCACCCACAGCCTGCCCCGTCCTACCCGGCACCGCACCGACACGCGCCACACACGCCACACCTGCCCACACTTCCCCACACACTCCACACCTGCCCACACTTCCCCACACGCACCCCACACGCCACACCTGCCCACACTTCCCCACACACTCCACACCTGCCCACACTTCCCCACACACTCCACACCTGCCCACACTTCCCCACACACGCCACACACGCCACACCTGCCCACGCTTCCCCACACACGCCACACCTGCCCACACTTCCCCACACACACCACACACAGTAATACCACAGCACACACACCACACACACCACACACACGTCATGCACACCACACCACACATACACGCTACACATCAGACACATGCACCATGCTACACACACCTCACACCCCGCATACACCACACACTCACACATACCATCTGCACCACATGCACCACACACACACACTAGACACACCACACACTCCCTACCTCACAACACACCCCACATATATCACACACACCACACTATACATATACCACACACACCACACATCACATATCATATACCACACACACCACACTATACATATACCACACACACCACATCACACACGTCACACATCACACACATACTATACACACAACACAGTACACACATACATATGCACCACACTTCACACATACCACACATCACACACATACTATACACACAACACAGCGCACACATACACACTTCACACACATCACACACCACACACAATACACACCACACACACCCCACGCACATGCCCCTCTGTGACAGAAATCCAGAGATCAGGGTTCTTTGATTTCCCAAGCCACCTTTCACGTGAGTCCAAGCTAAGAGATTCCGTTTCTGAAGATTATAAAAGTGGCGACATCATCTTCTAATTATAAAGCGCTTTCCTGTAGCCCACGATGTCTGTCATGCTTCCTGAGCGCTCACTGCATTGTGTCGTGGGCGTGCATTTATCGGAAGCACCTCGTTTCATGCTCACAGGTACCCTGTGGGGCAGGTACTAGTATCTCCATTATGGACGCAGAAATGAGGTTTCGATGAAGCTAAGTCACTTGCCAAAGGCCCCGGATTTGTAAGCGTGCGAGGCAGACGTGGACCCCAGGGTCCCTGACGGAGCCCTGAGCACTTCAGCGCTGAACGCCTGGTGTGGCCGTCCCTCGGCCCTACAGGGGAGATGTTCTCCGTGCCACCCACGAGGCCACGCCGTGCAGCTCAGCGGCCCAGCTCGTACCTCCCCGGGAGTCGGGCCGAGTCGCGGCGTCGCCGCGCACTGGGGCGCCTCTCCTCACGCTGACCTCCCCTCCCCAGCCTCGGGCCAGCCCCTCCACCTGAAGAACATCTCCACGGACACGTCCGGCTACTACGTCTGCACCTCCACCAACGACGTGGGCACGCAGTCCTGCAACATCACGGTGGCCGTCAGACTTCGTAAGAGCGCGGGGGACGGAGGGGTGACAAAGGCCGGAAGGCGGCTGGCTGGGGTCCAGAGGGTCACCTGAGACACCAAGGAGATGAATCGGGGAGCCCCGTTAGGGCCGCCCGCCGGCAGGGCAGCTGGGGGGCCTGGGCAGGACGGTCCCGTCCCAGCTCCCCCTGCTTTGAGGCCAGTCCTGTTCCGCTGGACTGTTGCTTGGACCTGCAGCCTAGGACTGACTTCCGGAGGCTTCCTCGGTCCTGCCAGCTCCGAGGGCCACTCGGTGAGCACGGGGAAGTGCCCAGAGCCAGCTGCCGCGGGGTCTGGACCCCATCCTTTTGGGGGGAGATGCCACGGCTGGCTGAGGGAGCTGGCAGGGCTGTATCCGAGCCTGGGTAGCCCAGAGAGTGATACGCTGCGCAGCTGTTGGTCTGTCTGTCCTTGTCTGCACCTCCATCCTGAGGAGCGTTCCCCGGCCGTGTCTGGTCACATCCCGGGAGACCACGGCTCTCGCGGAGCGTGGCCAGAAGCTGGCGGCGTGGGAGGAGGGCTGGGGGCCAGGCCGGCTCAGGAGGTGCAGCTGCCCTGTCCCCTGGCAGCCTCCATGAACGTGGCGCTGTATGCGGGCATAGCGGGGGGCGTGGCCGCGGCCTTCATCATCATCGGCGTCATCATCTACTGCTGCTGCTGCCGAGGGAAGGACGAGGCTGAGGACAAGGAGGACGCGAGGCCGTGAGTGTCTGGGCGGGCTGCCTGTTGGAAGGGGCCGAGCTGCTTGGAAACACACATCCCAACTCCTCTGAGCCTCTCCCACTTGCAGCCCCCCTGGGGGAATCGGCCACGCTCTGCAGCAGAGCAAGAGTGACCTGCCGTCGTGCGGTGTGCCTTGCAGTCCTGGCACGCGCCTCCACCGCCCGGCCCGCGGTCTCCAGGCTCAGAGCTCAGGACGGGGCTTCCTGGGGCGGGCCCACAGCCCAGCGCGGGCTGGAGCCTGTGTCCCGGGGCCAGTCCCTTCCTGGCCAGTGGAGCCGGCCCGGCCCTGTGACACCCTCGGCTCAGGAGTGGAACACGTCACCGCGCCCCCCGTCTACTCTCAGCTCTGCCCTTCAGCCCAGCGTCCCTTTGCAGCGGGAGGGGTGGGGCTGGCAGGTCTGGGAGCTCCCCTGGGGGCCAACTGAGGACCAATCCTTCCCCTCTGCCCTCACTGCCCTGCAGGAACCGGGCAGACTACCGGGAGCCGCCGGAGCAGCTGAGAGAGCTTTCCAGAGGGAGGGAAGAGGAGGAGGAGGACAGCTACAGGCACGAAGACCCGAGGAGCTCCGGGCGAGAATCCCCTGAGACCTCTGGGCGGTGACGGGGCCTGCTTCGGGGTGGCGTGGAAGAAGGTCAGGGGTTCGTTCTCCTGCTTCCTGGCCCCCCTCTCCTCTTCAGGCCCCATTCTCCTGACCCTGCATCCTACACCCTGATGGGATGCTTCTTCCCTGTGTCTGCTGCTGGGGCACTTGGCCGGCCTGGCAAGGGGGACCCTCCTGTGACTGACCCTGCCACCAACCCCGTCCTGTGAAGTGTGACACCTCCCCACTGCCACACCTAGTTCAGGGCCTGGCCCTCACCCTGGACCGGGCCGCAGCCTCCACTTCCCGAGTAGCTGGTGGGAGCCCTTGGAAGCTCAGCACCGCTCGGGGGGCTGCCCGGAGCGCCCCCGGGGGGCAGTGCCAGCCCGGCAGGCCTGCCCTGCTCGCCTGTGTGCCCAGCACCTACGGGAGCACCTGGCAGGGCGGTCGCACTCCATGCATTTGTGTTGAATGACTGAAAGAATAAATGAGTATGTGAAAGATTCTCTATTATTTATCCAACTTAGTGCAGACTCCTTGTTAGGGCCCCGCACCGGCCTGGCCTCCAGCCTCCAGCTCCCTTTCCCGCCCCCCTTTCCCGCAAGTGCCCATACATGCCAGGCCCTCCCGGCAGAGGCCACCTGCCACTCCCGCTGCACATGCCCTCGTGGGACTTCTGCCCACTCACTTTCCATCCCTGCCTGTCAAAACCCATCTCAGATCACAGTGATTTCTGTGACCCTACCCTGATCGCCTGCACACGTGGAAACAGTCCCGCTGCTCTGCCCGCACTCCATCTGCCCGCACTCCATCTGCCCGCACTCCATCACGGGTCACATGGTGTGACATGGATCGCCCACCGGAGCGAACGTGTCACTGTGTTGGAGTGTGAGCTCTTTGGGGCGGGCATGGGCCTCACCGCTCCTGCCTCCCCCGGAGCCCCGGCAGCTGGGGCTGGGCCTTACCCTGTCCCACCGAGCACGTGAGCAAGGGGCCGTCCCCTCTCTGGTCTCCCTGAGATCACTGTAGACACAAAGATGACTCCCACCTAAGCTACTGTAGTGAGTTATTAATAAAAACGAGTTGATTTAAAATGACGCAGGAGTGTGCTTGCAGATGGCCCAGGGTCTCATGCCCCGGAGATTCGTCTCAAGGCCAGAATATTAACAACTGGCATCTCTCCCTCCCCAGCCCTCGCTGAGTTCCTGGTTCCTGATTCCTACCCCGGCCCCTCCCAGCCCTCTCGGGCCGGGTTTGTGGCTGGGCTGTCTGGCTGCCCAAGCCAGAAGCCATTTCTTCTGCTCCTGAGAGCTCAGGCAGTGTGAGGGCTGCTTGGGTCTCTAGGCCCGGTGGCTGGTCTCACCCCAGTGCAGTTTACTATTAAATAAATATTGTTGTCTTTCCTGAGTAATCAATCAGAAGAACTATTCCAAAAGTCTATTGTCCACTTGTGATTTTTTTGAAGTGTATTTTTATATATTTTGTTAAATTCTTTGCTTCATTCAAAATGTTCTCAGTAATAATAAAATTGCTGGTGGAAATTCTTATTTCTTCTTTAATGTGGGTTCTGTTCACACGAAGGTAGAGTCTGTGTCGGTGTGTCTGTGTCTGCCTGCCACAGGCCTCCTCTGCTTGCTAGGAGATGCTCTTGCGGTTTATGCTCCGGTGGCGCCCCTCCTCGGGGCCACCCTCTTGTTGTGTCAGGGAGAACTGTGACTCTTCTCCCCCAGAGCAACTCAGCTCCACAGCCAGAACTTGGCTTTGACACTGACTCTCCTGGGACACATTCGAGGTCCTCTCCTCCACGCCCTTCCCGAGGGTCCCTGTGTCCCCTTCTGTCCCCAGCGCCTGTCACACGGTGCTGTCGTGAGCTGTGTACAGGTCTGTCTCTGTCCGCGCCTGTGTGATTCGTGAGGAAAAGAACTGAATCTTCCTTATGGCTGGCACACGTGACTCATGATAAAGGTTTGCGGAATGACTGTTTGGTGTCACGGTATCTTACCCGAGGACACCCATCTCCTAGAGCTCTGCATTACTTCGAGGTGCCCTCCAGCCCTCCTGGTGCAAGGTTCCACAGACCTGGCCTTGAGGTGGCTCTGGAAGGGGAGGCAGCCACCTGCACCCAGGTTTGATCTAACTTTTCTCTCTGCCCCTCAAAGGGCTCTGAAGCTTCACCTGCCTTAGCTCCAGGCGTGGGGAGGAAAACGAGGGAAATTAGGACCCATTGCATTAATTCAACAGCAAATATTTTGTGAGCACCTACTGCGTGCCAAGCACCGCCCTGGTTGCAGGGCACAGAAAGGTCACTAAGACACTAATACTCAGGAGAAGGTGACAGACATAGGAACATGCTTATATGAGAGAGGGAAGGGGCTGCAGGAACGCAGCAGAGGACCCGAGTGACCCAGCCTAGGGGACTGCGGGAAGCTCCAGAGAAGACGTGACATTGGGCTGCGTCTTGAAGAAATACAAGTGGGAAAGGGCTGGGGCCGACATTTCCCCCGTCCTCCAGTTCAGGTCTCTATTACTTGGGTGTCAAATCATGTTACCAGTTGGTAAGACTGTAGTTTCCTGCTGAATTTATTTCATTCCACACACTCGGTGGGAATTAGATTATTGTAGGTTCTTACATGGTCAAAATAAGGCCAGCAATATAGTCTCATAGGCTGCTAGGCCTCCCTCCCCAATTTGTGGTTTCCAGCTGACAGTTCAAAGACTTTATGGTATTTTAGAAAAGAGACAAAGGCTGTCATCGATTCAGGGGAGATTGTGTACTAGACACTTATAAGGCACTTGAGACAGTTTTTCATATAATCTTCGCCTGCAGTTTCAAAAATTAAGGTATGTGGCAACATTAGGTGTGCATGTTACCACCAAAGGAAGGACTCTGGCTGTCCAGTGAGGTCCCTGAGAAGTAATTATTTAGGTTGGTAAACTAGCCACTCTTCAGGGTCTTGTTCTTGAGTTGTTTTGCGGCACAGCGACAAGGCATCATTTCTCAGAGGCAGAGCCACATTAACCAAGACCACAGAGCCTGATGTATAATACTAACAGCAAAAGCCAGCGCTTGCTCTGGGCCAGCCACTGTTCTAAGCACTTTCTATGTAACATCTCATAACCCTCACAGCAATGCCATGTGATAAGTGCTATTTATTATTCCTCATTTTACAGATGAGGAAGCTGAGAGCCACAGTGAGTTGAAGCAATCCGAATAAACACAGAATGTCAATTTGTTGCTTACAGCTGTCAAGTAAGACCAGTCTTTATATCCACCTGGGCCAGGCCATCTCACCTCACGGGTGCCATGCCCTCAGTTGCTTACTGGGCGATGGAATCAGAACAAGAGAAGCCGGCTACCTTCACGGAAGCCTCGTCCTCTACAGCTGTATGTATAACCAGGCACCATATCACTGGTGAAGATTCTAGAAGATTCTCTGGCGTTGGCCCCATCGTTGGGTATTCTAGATCAGGAGCCCGACATCTGCAGAAGTGATCCCATTGGGAGGTGCAGACCTGTGGGAAGGGGCTCTTTTGGACACTTGGTTATTGAGTTTGTTCACTGAGATCACCTCCCCTTGGGTTGGTTTCCAGAAAGGCCCAGCCTGGTTTCTGTCTGGGATGGCCCTTCTTCTTCACTCCTCAGCTACCCACATCGCCCCTGAGACTCCCTTCTTTCTCATTCAGACACTGCCTTTGCCTTTGCCAAAGCTTTCCTCTAGTCCAGCTGAGTCGGTAGTTCTGGGAACCTGAATTTCCCCTTAAGGGGATACTGAGCATCCCTGCTGTGATCTAGGATGTCTTGATTCTAAAGTTGAGCGGAGATCTTATTTCACTGATTGCCATGTTGTTGAGTGGATTTTTTGGTCTTAATTAAGATAGGCTAAACTGCTATGAAAAATGGACTAAAATTGTATAACGGCTCCAATACAACAGAAGTTTCTCTCTCGCACACCTGACGGTTTTATAGAGAGACACAGGGGCCCCTCCTTCTGTTTATCTCCAGCTGTTTACCTTGGTGGCTCTTCCATTGTCAAGGGCCAGGCAGTGGCCTCAGGCAGCAGAGAGGAAGGAGGGCACAGCAAGGGACCGCTGCTTCTTCAGTCCCCGATCCGGGAGTGGCCACTCAGACTCTGCCCACTCGCCGTGGCCCCTTGGCGAGCTCTGCTCACAGCACCGCACATGGTGGGGGAAACGGGGAAATGCAGACTGTGACCTTGTTATAGCTGCTCAGGGAGAAACAGAACTGGCTACTGGCTCCGCTCACCTGTCCATTTCCCAGACGAGGAACCTGAGGCTCGGGGAGAGAACAGCGTCAGAGTTAGCACTGGCGGTAGGTGGTGCAGCTCAGACTCAGTTCTGGCTGATTCTGAAGACCTTGCTCCTCGCGTGGACACATTTCCCCCTGGCCCCGTGTACGTGTGCGTAGCCACCACAACTGGACGGGGAAATGTGTGAGTGGAGACAGGGTTAGGTACTTTTTTTGTTTTAAATTTGAATGTGGCAGCTGTTACCTATTATTATGTAATACTGGCATTTCAAGTATAAACTATATATGCATTTCTGAAAAGCCTTGCCTTCTGCAAAGTCACACACTGAAATTAATAGGACTTACAGAAAAATGAGGATTAGAGGCAGACCACATAAAACCAATGGGTCTTTGTAACTGGATCACTTTTAAAGCATTAACAATCCTAGTGAAAATACAAGTGATGTTAAATCTACACTGTTAGGCCGGGCGTGGTGGCTCACGCCTGTAATCCTAGCACTCTGGGAGGCCGAGGTGGGAGGATCGTTTGAGCTCAAGAGTTCAAGACCAGCCTGAGCAAGCACAAGACCCCTTCTCTACTAAAAGAATAGAAATAAATTAGCTGGACAACTAAAAATATGTATATAAAAAATTAGCTGGGCATGGTGGCGCATGCCTGTAGTCCCAGCTACGTGGGAGGCTGAGGCAGAAGGATAGCTTGAGCCCAGGAGTTTGAGGTTGCTGTGAGCTAGGCTGATGCCACAGCACTCTAGCCTGGGCAACAAAGTGAGACTCTGTCTCAAAAAAACAAAAAAAATCTACACTGTTAGCACCAAGCACCACAGTTAGTCAAACTTAATGTGTGCGTTCATTTCTATGACCTACTTATCAAAATTTATAAATTATCCATACAGTTCATCTGACTGTAAAGTTGGCAAGGGGTCTCTCCTTTAAAAATTTGGCTTTTATCATGTATTGATTTTTTAGCTATGTGTTTATCTTTGTACCTGAGTTTTCTTGTTAGTATATAGACATGTCCTGCCTTTGTTGGTCATGGAAATGCTCAGGGTATGTTGCAGAGTGGGGCGTACCATTAGCTCATCTTTTAAAAAATCTTGATCTAGACTGTGGCCTTTTTTATTGATAATTTTTTAACGTACGACCTGAAGAAAGTGTCTTTTGTATCAGTCAGCTTAAGCCAAGTTATGCTGCGGTAACAACATAAAATCCAGTGACTCACAACAAAGGGTTATTTCTTGCCCATACGACATGGTATCTCAGGTTGGTGCAGCTCTGCTCCTCGTCTTCCTCATTCTGGGACCCAGGCTGAAGATCACCTTAGTTCCTGGGACAATGCCCGTCTCATGGCAGACCGGCATGAAAAGGAAAACAAGAAAATCACAAGGTGACTGTTACAGCTTCTGCTTAACAGGGGCTCCTGACACTTCTGCTCCCATATCACTGCCAGATCAAGCCATGTGTCAACAGGTTTGGGTTTTCCAGCCTCCTTCGGGGAGGGGCAAAGAATATATTGAATAATCATACCATCTCCTACGCCTTCATAGCTTCTTCGTCTGGACTCACAGCTTCCCCCTACAGCTTAACATAAAGCAAAGTGAATCAGTTCTGTAAACTGCTTAACTGAAAGCCACTCTTGTTGCATGAAAGGAAGGTTCTTGTGCAGAATATTCCGCTTTTTTCTTAAGGCCATTATATATCTCTTAGCATTTATCTTTTGTTGTGGAAAAGCATATTCCTAAAACATTTATGTGCTGGGAAAACCAACACCATCACCCCAGGCATGAAGGGGCAAGGGGAGAGAAGGGGGTGGACCCTTGCAGAACCCAGTGAGCGCTGGCAGCGTGGAGGGGGTTCCAGTGGGAGATGGAGTCATGGAGCCACGCCACTGAGAGGCCAGCAGCGCCAAAGCAATGAGTGAGCAGGGAGGAAGCACCGAGGCACTTTCTCTTCCCACTGTCCCATCCTGCCCCATCTCGCACTGGCAGAAGCCAAGCACGAGCAAGGGAACCATGGCCCTCTGTGGGGTCGGCTTCCTGGAGCACAAAGTGTGGAAACAAAGGAAGAACAGAGGTGGAGGAAGGAGGAGGGGTGCAGATGAAGAATAACCAACACACCTGCCTTCACCTACAATGGATTGTGAGCATTCCTCTCCGGTACTCTTCACCCCCTCATCCTCTGCACCTTCTTAAGAGGTGGGGGCTCAATCT